CTGAAACGTGACATTTTTTCCCCTCAGACTGCCAAGGCAATGCTACTGACTTAGGCAGAAGTCAGTCTCCAAAGGGGCCAGATCCCAAAGTAAGATGACAGCAAGGAGCTGAAAATGCAACAAACTAAAGATACTGGTATATCCTTACCCACTACCCAATCAACGTAAAGCCCAGCAGTGTTTGCACTTCAAGTCAGGTAAGCTGGTCTGTTCCTGCTGAGAATATATGCTGTGTCAACCAAGAAATGTTGAACCTGGCAGAAAACCTGAAACTGTTAGCACTTCCTAGCAGGTATGCTGACCACGATTTCCTTTCTCCTCCTTGAGTCTGCTCTCCCAGGGACTCAGAGAGTGAGTAGGGCTTTCTTCCCAGTCCCTCTGAGCAGCGTGGCCAGGTGTGGCTGGCCAAAGGTCCGTGCTGCTGAACGATATATGCTCTTCATTATGTCTGCCGGTTTCAAGCCTTCCATTGTCAGGCTGCCTGACAGCCTACTTTTCCAAAGAATTTTTAGTTAACCATTGAGTTAACCATTCCCAGACCAAAGCTGGGCTCTTGCCTGTTTTTGAGATTACACACTATTTTTTTTTTCAACTGCTCTTGCAACTGTGAGGGGAAGCAGAGTTTGTCACCCCAAAATATGCTTCTTGGGATATTGATTATTTTAAGCTGGTTATTAACAAAGGACTCAGAAAGTACCTTTGGCCCTCCCCCTTACCTGCCTAAAGGAATTCAGATAGAAAAACCTGCTTAAAGGAAGGGAGCATCACCTTAGCATCATAATAGGAACTAAATGTGGCAGAAAAAGTCTGTTAGACTCCAATATATGTGTCTCATTGTTTCTGGGTGGCGAAGCAAGAAATTCTTCTCCACGTTTGCTCCTTCTTATCTCCTTATGAATTGCCTATTTTCCTTTTGAAGTCCCAGACCCCTGTCTCCCTCTCCTTAACCCAGAATGGCACATAAGCCTCAACTACCCAATTGTCCTCAGGTCTCATATTCTTAGGGAACCCCTGTACGTACATATGTAATACATTTTCTCCTGTGAATCTGTCTCATGTTGATTTGATTATTAGTCCAGCCAGAAGAACTTAGAAGGGTAGAAGTAAAATTATTTTTCTGCCCCACCCTGTGAGCTCCTAACTCTCAAGGTTAGGTTTTCTTTTCCCTCTTCCACTACTCCCAAGCCTCAGGAAAAATAACTGAAAAAAAAAAAAATGAACTGATTACTTAGGATCTAGGAACAAGCCCCTCTCTGTGCCTCATTTCCTCATCTAGAAAATAGGAATCATAACGATACTTACTTATTTTATAGGGTCTATAAAGAGGGTGGAATGGGGTAATAATCTGCCTTGTCCATATTAAATGACCAATAAATGGTAGATATGTTATTATAATTTTTGAATCCCAGGGAACACTCTCCTTTCATTACCTCCTCCTGACATAATTTGTCCCTATCCTCACCCATGACAAAAGCACCCCACCAAGGAGAGCACAGATTTAGACACATTTTTTTACATCAGGTCACATTTACTGAAATCAAGAAACTAACAAATACAAATTCTATGATGCTAGGATTTGTCAAGAACTTCTAGGCACCATACAAAGTGGTGGGAGGTTGCATTGAAGAGGGGGTGCATATCCAAATGGTTTCATGATGTTTTTTGCTCTGTCCTTTGAGCATTTTGCCTATCTTGAAATGGTAATAGCTGTTTGGGCTGAGATAAACAGAACATGACTGCTAAGGTAGGAGATAGAAGACAGTGCATTATCAGAGCGAGGATTATAGGCAAGGGACAAGCAGAGGCTTCCTTAGAGCAGGCTGTTATTAACTTCCTCATGAGTAGAGACAAGCACACAGACTTGGAGCTCACTCAGCAGCAGCTAAGGTTCGATTCTGTACTCACAGTGAGATCCCATAAGCTGGCCCTGAGCTTCATTCATTTTTAAACAAGTATCAAGTGCCTGCTACGAGAGGCAATGTACTGTGAGGATATACAAATGTGTAAGACATGCGTTCCCAAAGGCAAAGAGCTGTAGAGGGAATAGTGACATAGAAGATCATAACACAACGAAACATGTGACATGGGCCTGAGAGAGCGACAGTGAGAGTATGCTATGGGCATTCAGAAGGAGGAGACTCCTGCTGCAGGAGGTGAGAGAAGACTTCAGAGTGTGGCTCTGACAGGGTGGAGAGACAGAGTAATGATGTAGAAATGGGAGCAGTGGGGGCATGTATAGAAGTGCTTTGAAAATTCAATTGGTTGGGTCAAAGGGCACACAGGCTAATAGCATCATTTAAAAGGGGCTATTCACCCACAAAACTCCCACAAAATAACAGTGCCCTTGGGGGTGGGGTGGGGGTTACAGTGAAAACATAGCATCTTCAATTGTATTGCTAGAGCACATTGTTAGTTAACTGGCTTTTCCTGCTTCACAATCCCCTCTGCAGTGGTCTGGAGCACCCCCATTGTGACTCTGCAAAGGCAAAATACCTGCCTTTATCCATCAGGATGGGGTAGCTGTCGGGGATGAGAAGCCAACTCATTTGTCAAACAAAAGCAATACATATGTGCTATTTTAGGTCAGAAGAGACAGCGACCACTGAGGCAAACTTTAGTTGAGCCTTTAAGGAGATGGAGATAGCTCCTCCAGGCAGAGGTGCCTGAAATGGGAAATACACTTATTCTTTAGGGAGATGGGGGAGGTGGACTGAGATCATTGTGATTGAACTGGAGGTTTGAATAGAGCAGAGGTTATTAAAAGGGGTATTTTGTTTAGCCCAGGCAGAATTTTCCTAATTTTATTTGCCAACATTAGACAATTGGGAGATTTTACATAAAAATATGGATTTCAGGCTCCCTTGAGAAACTGGGCCCACATTTCTAAATGGCATCCATGCTTTGGAGAAGGGGAGCTTGCCCACAGCCACCACTAGCTCACTTTATTCCTTCCTGCTATTCACATTTAGATGCTAATCACATTTTGTGAGCACAGCGCCTTTAGCTCTCCACAATGCTTTTGAAAGCCAAAAGCCTGATGGCTCAGAACACATTGGATAGCTTATTCTTTAGGGGGCAAGTGTATGCTATTTGGGTTTCCCTATTTTCTCTTTTTTTCATGTTACTTCCAAGTTCCTGCTAGCGTTTGATTTTGCAACTTCTCATATAGAGGGTCTCTGTGCCATGAGGGTGGCAAAATTGGTAAGGGCAGCATGCCTGGCCCAGGAGCTCAGCCTTTGTTCTCTAGGGGCGAAAAAGAAGGCCAAAACACAGGCAGATCTTAAGAAAGTTAGTCTGGAAGAAGCTATGAACTGGGCTGCAGGGACTGAAATTAGTATTGGCCCTGGAAGCACACTTTCTGGTCTTAAATTTCAGCTCAGTTACTGGGTGGGTGAGCTCCGGCAGGCTACAGAAGCTTTCACTGCTTTGATTTTCTCATCTGTAAAATGGGCTTGAGAGGAACAGTACCCACCGCATAGGGTTGTTGTAAGAATTAAATAAGATACCAAACATAAAGCACTTACCACAATGCCTGGTACATTATTGTTCCAGGATCATTTTTAGAATTAATCCTGGAGGCCAATTAGAGGATTACTGCAATAGCCTGGTATGAGCTGGTAAGTCCCAGATTAGGACAGGGACAGTGACAAAAAGAAAGACCAGTGTGGGAACATTGGGAATGTTGGGAATGAAGAACCAACTGACCTCAAGGTTGATTGGGGATTGGGGAAGAGGAAGTTCAAAGATAACTTGTGAATTTCCAGCCTGGGTAATGGGGAATGATGGCATTGAAATGGAAAACTCTGGGAAGACATTTTCAGAGGAAGGGAAGTTAGTCTGATATATATTCAGTTAGAGGTGCCAGTGGAGAGGTGATAGCCAAGTGGTAATGCCCAGCGATGTGGGAGCAGGGATGGAGATGTGGATTTAAGCATGAAAAACGTGTGAGGAAGGGGCACTCTGGGAGGGCCTGGCGAAGCAATAGTGTTCAGTTGACCAAAGACAGCCCGAGACATTAAGCATCTGGGTCAGGCTCAGCATCTCTGTTTGAACAGGCCAGGGCCTCACTTCACTCAGGTACGGTGTGTATTCTGCTCGGTCAGCTGTGCCACTCAGAGACTACCTTTGTCCTTCATCTTATGTGCTTTCAGTTCAAATGCTGACCTGGCCCAATCCTGCTTACCTTGTGAGCTTGATGGGGTCAAAGTCCCCCGGGGTGTAAAGCAATAGGCTGACACTCAGTTTTATATTTGATGAAATGGAGTCACCTAATACAGGCAACAGGGGAGGGTGGCAGGCAGAGTTGTGGGGGGACCAAGCTCATGCCTGGTGCCTCCCTTCTGATCCTCTCAGGAGATCCCATGTTCTCAGCTGCTCCCTCGATTTTCAGGGCAGTCTGTCTCCCTCTCTCCTCCTCACGCGCCTGTCCAGAGAACCATTTGCTCAGGAATTCCAGGTCAGATAAATTAATCCCCATCAATATTTTATCCTTTCTACTCTCTCAATACACTAGGTGTTGCCAGCCTCTTTAGGCCCAGGCTTTGAGCCACGTGTGGGAGTTTGAAGATGAAAAGGCCAGGCCATACCTGGAAGAGCTGGAACTAAAACGCACTGAAGTGTGGCCATGGAGATTTCAGGCAGGGTGCTTTTAGGGCAGTGGTTCTCAACCTCGGCTGCACATTAGAATCACCTGGGAATCTTTTTAAAATCCTGATTTCTGGGCCTCATCCTCCGGAAATTCTGTTTCTTTGTTACTACTTTTGTGGCCCCACCCCATAACAAAGAAACAGAATTTCCGGAGGATGAGGCCCAGAAATTAGGATTTTAAAAAGATTCCCAGGTGATTCTAATGTGCAGCCAATGTTGAGAACCACTGTTTTAGGGTCTGTGAAAGCGCACCAAGTGGGGGGCAGCTCATTCCATTTGCACAGAGGGCTGACCGATCCCCCTTCCCACCAGAAACCATGCCATCAAAACATGCACATGCACAATTTATTTACCTCTCCATTCTCTAGCATGTCAGCCAGGAGCCAGGGCAAGAAAAAGAAAAAGGAATAAAATGAATGTAAGCACAGTGAAGGAAGGGCTCAGCTGATTAAACAAGACTTCTGATTATGGTCATTAATGTTCAAGAAAATTCCAACTTGACATGGCATTAAACAAGCTGTGTATGTAAAAATATATTAGGAGACATTCAAAGTGGCCAGTCAGTGTCAGGGTTGACAAAATTCCCTGGCCAACAGGTTATCTAACAGACACCTGACATGGATTTGCTTCCTACAGGCAATGCAGCAAGGAAAGCCAATGGAATGCAAATGTTCTCACTAAACCTGCTCAGGTAAGAGCAGCCTGGCTGCCCTGCCAAGCTCCCTCCTTACAAATTCTGCTGGCAAACCTTGTCTACTCCCCTGGGAGGAGACTAAAGTTCTCTCTTCTTGGGGAATTTGGATTGTATGCTTTGCAGGAAAAAAAACAACTCCAGAAGAATTTAGAGTTCGACTGTTGTTTCTAGAGGTCTTATCTTCCAAACTGAAGATGTATTTCGAGCAGGGATAAGAGGTTGTTAAGTGGACAGAGAGATCACTAGCTCCATGGCTCTAATACCCTCAGAGAGTGCTCAGATACGCTCCGTTTACTGCAGCGACATCTATTGGCCAGAGAAAGCAATGCATGTTTACATTTAAAAAAGCGCTGGTTCTATCTTGGGGATTAGTTTTTGTTTTTTTTTAAGTAGAGTGGACAAGATATTATTATGTTTATTAACCCCTGTTAAATAACACTTTAACCAAAACCCTAAGAATTCCTTTTCTATATCTTTGTGGTTTTTTCTTCTTTTAATCCTCACTCAAAGATATTTTTCCATTGATTTTTAGAGAGAGTGGAAGAGAGAGGGAAAGATAGAGAAATATCAGTGTGAGAGAATCACATCGATTGGTTGCCTCCTGCATGAGCACTGACCAGGGCCCGGGCCAGGGAGGTGCCTGCAACCAAGGTATGTGCCCTTGACTGGAATCGAACCTGGGACCCTTTGGTCCGCAGGCTGACGCTCTATCCACTGAGCCAAACTGGCTAGGGCCCTTTTCTATATCTTTGGATGACATTTATGATGTTATTCATAACTGGATACTGACCATACTTTTTGAGAACTGAGCAACTGCCTCTTCGGATTAAAAAAAAAATACATTTTTATTGACCAGCTGGCGTGGTTCAGTGGTTGAGCATCGACCTATGAACCAGGGGGTCACAGCTCAATTCTCGGTCAGGGCACATGCCTGGGTTTCAGGCTCAATCTCCAGTGTGGGGCATGCAGGAGGCAGCCAATCAATGATTCTTTCTCATGATTGTATCTCCTATATTTTTATTGATTTAAGAGAGGGAAGGAGAGGGCGAGAGAGGCAGAAACATCAATGATGAGAGCGAATCATTGATCAGCTGCCTCCCCCCACACTGGGGATTGGCCCACAACCCTGGCATGTGCCCTGACCGGGAATCGAACTGTGATCTCCTAGTTCATAGGTTGACACCCAATCACTGAGCCACACTGGCCAGGCCTCTGGATTTTTGTAAACAATCATTATGACTTTGCATTTATTTTAAAGCTTCTTATTGATGCTCTGTGTATGCATTATCTAGAATGTTTCTATATAAGGGGAAAGATTAACAAGTTTACCTCAAAAAACCCACTTCCAGTGTATCTTACCTGGGTTTATAGTACATTGTTGTATATAAGTAAATATTCTAGAGTAGTGATGGCTAGATTCCCCCAGAAGATGTCATTGTTCTAGCTTTCAGGTGGAGAAAGGAAAGCTGAAAGTTTTGGGGGAAGACTGAAACCCGACTCCCACATTTAGATGTCATTGAATTTTATCCAAAAAACCTCTGTGATATTGTGATTTATAATAAGAAATATATATTTGGTCTTCATTTCCTTTGCTGGCACAGAGCTCCTAAACCCTTGGAATTTCCTAAGTGATGGAAGTGATAAAGATGTCTTCATATCTGTAACAACCCCCTTTCAACCACACCTAAGTCTATGTGAATGAGGTGACTTTTGGAATACACCTAGAGTGGGGGCTGGTTGCCAGAGGAACCAACCATGTGATCAAAGGGTTGAACTTTCAGTCCCACCTCCCTGACCTGAGAAGGATGAGGGGCTGGAGGTTGAATCAATGGCCAATGTCCAGTGATTTAGTCAATCATGCCTATGTAATGAAGCCTCCATAAAAACCCCCAAGCACAGGGCTCAGAGGGCTTCCAGCTTGGCGAAGCAGAACGCATCCATGTGCCACAGTGCTGGGTCCCAAATTCCATGGGGACAGAATCTCCTTTGTTTGGGTCCATGCCCTATATATCTCTTCACCTGGCTGTTGATTCATATCCTTTAATACCCTTTGCAATAATCTGGTAATCTAGTGAGTAAACTGGTTTCCTGAGTTCTGTTAGCTGCTCTAGTGAATTAAGCAAACCTAAGGATGGGGTCCTGGGAACCTCTTATTTATAGCCAGTTGGTCAGAAGCATAGTTAAAAACCTGGACTTGTGATTGGCATCTGAAGTGGGGGTGGCTGTCTTGTGGGACTGAGCCCTTAACCTGTGGCATCTGATGCTGTCTCCAGGTAGATAGTGGCAGAACTGAGTTGAATTGTAGGACACCCAGCTGGTGTTGGAGAATTGCTTAGTATGGGGAGGGGACCCCTCACATTAGAATTGGTCCCATAATCTAACCCTTTTTCATTGATCACCCCTACCCCTAGGCTCGAGGCCTTGTACTATGCATGAGGAACACTAAATTATAAGAGGTGGCAGAAAGTGCTGATGAGATGCCTCTGGCTCTATCTACTATTTCAAAAAAGTGATCGTCAAAGCATGGAAACCATTGCTATAAGTGATCAACCAGCAAGAGCCGATTCTCACTCCTGACAGTAAGAGAAATTCCTAGGGTTAGGATTTAAAAAGAAAATAAAAAGCTTCTAGATTTTTATGATCATAACTCTTTCCCAGTAAACCTCTCCCTGGTGTGTGTGTGTTTTAAAAGAAGCTATGTTTTTTAGAAAAAGCATAATTACCATATGAAGAAATCAACTTTTCTGAGGGTTGAACCATATGAAATTACTGTTTGAGTATGTCAAAAAAGGTAGAATATTGGCAATTTCATATGGTTCAATCTAAAGAAAAAAGACTGAAACTAAAAGAGATATATGACATTCCTAAGTAAAAGACGGAATCTCTGACATGAATTATTCAAGCTTATAGGTTTAACATATTCCATTCATAATCACAAGGTAATTCTGAAGTTCATCAGGGGAAACAAATGACTGAGAATAAGCAAGGAAATTTTGAAATGAAGAGCAATGAGGAGGGAGATGCCATGCCACATAGTAAAAGGCATTATAGAGCTAGAGGAATTGCAATAGGGCACAAGAACAGTGCCGGAAGCCGGTCCATCCTTGCTGCTTGAAGAAACATCTGGACAGCATATGTTTCAAGGGAGCTGGCGTATATGGCATACTGTGCTTAATATGTTTGCTCCCCTTCTTGGCGCTATGTGTTTTAACGAAGGTCACCTCTCCGCGAAAGGTTGTTTCCCCAGGTAGGGATTTTCCCCTGAAGTTAGGGAGGGAATAAAACCCCTCAACTAAATGCCAAGTGGGTAGTTAATCACTTTAACTATGGACAATCACCCTTAAGCTACATAATCTTTACTCCCTGGAATGGAGATAAGAAACGCCCTAACCTTTGGAATAGAAAGTGACAGGATTAAAATCAACTGGTATAAATACAGATGTAACAAGACAATAAAACACAGAAACTGGCTGGAGAACCTAGAGACAGAACCTGGCTACAGAACCTGGATAGAACATGGCAAGAGAACCTGACTAGAACCTGGCGACCGAACCTGGCTGGAGAACCTAGCAAGAGAACATGGCTACAGGACCTGGCTGGAGATCCTGGACAGAACTTGGCTGGAGATCCTGGCTAGAGATCCTGGCTAGGCTGCTGATCAACTGAATGCAGCCTCCGTGTCCTTCATTCTTTGCCGACTCTGTCCACACCTTGGGGAACCCCTGGATCTGCTGGGGTTGGACCCCAACAGAACAGACTGACAGATCAACAGAACAGGATACACAGCCCAGGATAGATCCTAGAATATGTAAACATCTAGGAGATGGTAAAAGCTGCATCACAGAATAGAGGGAGAAATGATTATTCCAAAAATGGTATATTAAGAAAAATAACATAAACGGAGCCACTTTAAAATGGAGCTGGAGCTGCCACATCAGAAAGACTGCTTTGCACATCTTACACCCCAAGCCTTGAAATGTTTAAACAGGGCAAAATAACCTTTGGGCTGGGCCTATGCAAACTTGTGCCCCAAAGAACTGTTTGCAAAGATAACAAGAAAGCAGATATCATGATTACAGAACTGATGACTACTGGACTGAAAATTAAAAACATTAAAAATATATTTTTATTGATTTCAGAGAGGAAGGGAGAGGGGGAGAAAGATAGAAACATCAATGATGAGAGAGAATCATTGATTGGCTGCCTCCTGCACGCCCCACACCAGGGATCGGGAATTGAGCCCACAACCCGGGCATGTGCTCTGACTGGGAATCAAACCATGACCTCCTGGTTTATAGGTCGATGCTCAACCACTGAGCCACACAGGCCAAGTTAAAACATTGTGTGTATTTTTTTAAATTAAAAATATGTGTTTTTGTTTTTTAGTTTGTTTTTTTTTAACCGATTTTATAGAGTGAAAGGAACAGGGAGAAAGAAGAGAAAAACATTGATTGGTGGCTTCCTGCACTAGCCCCAACCAGGAATTGAACCTGCAACCTGGGTATGTGCCCTGACTAGGAATTGAACCTTCGACCTTTTGGTGCACAGGACGATGCTCAACCAACGGAGCAACACCAGCCAGGGCTAAAAACATTGTTTAGAATTATGTTATCTGCACCAATACAAATGCCTTCCTTCTATTGATGTAATTGTTCCCCTTTCCTTTCTCACAAATATCCACTGCCTTTGCCTCTCAATCAGAACACTATTCAGGCTTCTACCTGAATCAGTGCTTCCCAAATAGTTATTCTTTGACCTCAAATAAGTTGTTCTTGTCTCTCACTGTGAAAGCCCTTTTTATCTTTAGGTTGACACATCCTTAAACAATTGGTAAACTATCTTTGTAAAAGTCAAATGATTACTGCACATATCATATCCCAGGTAAATCCAAAATATATTAGTAGTAAGTGCAAAAATTATAACAAAATTATTTAAAGAACTATATATAAATGAATAGTCATATGATTATGGGATGGGGTAGGTCTTTTGCACAGAAAAGTAAAGTTAGAAACAAAAACCAGTAATAGATATAATTGCATAAAAATCTAAAAATATGTACAACAGTTCATAAACAGCATCAAAAGCCAAATGTTGAACTGGGAAAAATATGTGTAATGTCTGGCAAAGGGTTGATATCTTTAACATATAAAGACTTCTTACCAATCAGCAGAAAAAGCTGGCTATCCTAGAAAAATAGGTGAAGGACATAAACAGAAAATTTACAAAAGAAATACAAAGGGTCAATTGATATCTGAAAAATGTGCAATTTGCTTATGATCGATGAAATTCAAATTAAAACAATGATAGAATTTGTTAGCTATTAGGTTCACAAGGAATTAGAAAGTGACAATAATTCCTGTTAATAATGAGAGTTGAGATGAACCACTCTTACTGCTGATGCAAGTATAAACTTATAACCTTTCTAGGGCACAAACTCCATTAAGAACCTTAGAATTATTTTTATCTTGTAACCTGTAAGTTGATTTCTAGGAATATAGCTGAAGGGTGCCATCACAAATGTGAAAAAATACAATGGTTTTCACTGCAATGTTATCATATTGGAGAATCAGAAACAGCCTAAATATTAAAAATCGAGAAATTGTGTTTTTTTGTTAATCCTCACCCGAGGATATTTTTTCCACTGATCTTTAGAGAGAATAGAAGGGAGGGAGGGAGGGAGGGAGAGAGAGAGAGAGAGAGAGAGACAGAGAGAGAGAGAGAGAGAGAGAGAGAGGTGAGAGAGGCACATCAATTGGTTTTTTCCAGCACAGGGCCGGGGATTGAATCTGTAACCCAGGTAGGTGTCCTTAACCGGGAATTGAACCCAAGACCCTTTGGTGCATGGGCCAACACTCTTAACCACTTAGCCACACTGGCCAGGGCGAGAAATTATTATTTATGGCATGATGGAGGCAGAGATTGAAGTTATGTTGCTACAAACCAAGGAATTGTCAGGATTATCAGAAGCTGGAAGACAGGAAGGATTCTCCCCTAGAGCACTCAAAAGGGGCATGGCCCTGCCAACACCTTGATATTAAACTTCCAGCCTCCAGAACTTTGAGAATACATCTTTGTTGTCTTAAAAAATATTTATGACCCGGCTGGTGTGGCTCAGTGTTTGAGTGTCGACCTGTGAACCAGGAGGTTATGGTTCGATTCCTGGTCAGGGCACAAGCCTGGGTTTCGGGCTTGGTCCCTAGTGAGGGGTGTGCAGGAGGCAGCTGATCAATGATTTTCTCTCATTGTTGTTTCAATCTCTCTCCCTCTCCCTTCTTTTTTGAAATCAATAAAAATAAATTAAAACATTTATGACACATCCATATGGTGGAATATTGAGATAATTTAAAAAGATATTCTCAATATTTGATGACCTGGGGCAATACCCATTATATAATAAGTGGAAAAAGCAGGATACTAATTTTTATATACAGTAGGAACATAATTTTGTAAAACAAAACGTTCCATATACATGTATTATATATATTTATGCACACACATATATACACATGCGCACACATACAAATATACATAAAAGAAAAACTATTAATTATTACACTGCATAGGTATTGGGCTTATAAGTAATTATTGTTTTTTTATACTTTTCTATAATCTGTGCAAAGCAGATAACATAAAATTGACCATTTTAACCACTTTTAAGTGTATATGCATTCCTTTTAAAATTAGAAATAATGGTTTACAAATAAGCATGCAGTGAGCAGGCTCTAAACTTGCACCTACACTACCATTACAATAGTGTGACAATTATTTCTTTGTTTTGATAAAGGACAGGAAAGGATCACAACCCAGAGAGATGAAAGGTTTGATGGACTGGAGCAGCAGAATTGGGTGTCATCATGATGTGTATTATTCTGAAGGCATCTTTTCATTATAGGTTGAGATAAGTACCTTCAGGCTTTTCAGTGCTGGGTAAATGGAGACCAGCTCAGCCAAGAAAGCTATGGAGGGAAGCCGGGGGCCACTGAGACTTCGGAGGGACAAGTTACAGACAGGTGGAAAAACAAACTCAGCTGGGACTGATATTTAAAACTGGATTCAACTGAACCCAATTTAATATGCAAGCAGCTCCTCAGGAACATATATCAATTATATAAATCAAGATTTGTACCCTAGCCAGTTTGCTCAGTGGATAGAGCATCAGCCTGCAGACCAAAGGGTCCCGGGTTCGATTCCAGTCAAGGGCACATACCTCTGTTGCAGGCTCCTCCCGGGCCCAGGCCCTAGTCAGGGCTTGTGAAGGAGGTAACCAATCAATGTGTTTCTCTCACATCGATGTTTCTCTCTGTCTTTCCCTCTTCCTTCCACTGTCTCTAAAAATCGATGGAAAACTATCCTCGGGTGAGGATTAACAACAACAAAAAAGAAACAAAAAGAAATCAGGGATGGAAGAGGAGCCTTCCTACCTCCTGGAACCCTATTCTCTGTGGGAACTGAGGCCTTAAAAAAAAAGATTTGCCCAGAAGAGGTCAGGAAGGCAGGCAAGCCTGTGGACTGGAGTTGAGTTAAAGGCACATACAAAACCTCAGAGTTGTTAATTCTGAGCCCGCCCTCAGACTTGCTTGTAACCCCCAACCTTACTTGGCCCGCTGATTTTTTTTAATCAAAATTGACTGATTCTAGGCTAAGCCAGTTACTCACTTTGGGAACTTGGATACCACCATGCTTTTGCCTCTGTAGCTAATAGAGAAAATGTGAGTTTCCCAGGCAACAATTAGGAAAACGCAGGGTGACTCCCACTAAGACACTGACTGACCCATTTCAAATGTAGTTACTTCCTTAGGAAGGGAGTAAGGGACTATTGGAGCTTGGCTATGGAACAGCTCCTGGCTTATTTTGTTTCTTTCCAGTTTGTTTCACAGAGGTAAGGGGTGGCCAGGAAAGTAAGAGTGCCCTCCTCTCACTGTGGAGGCCCAGGGAGAGGGAGCTAGGAGGCTGCTTTGATGTCAACTATGCTTTGGTGGCAACTATGGGAAAGAGAGGAAAGAAAAGTGGGCCTCATCTGGAAGGGCTAAAAAGTCCTAAAAAAGCAGAGTATGTGAAAGAAATAGCAGCTTGGGCTGGAGCCAACAGCCCTGGGGTTAGCAGCAGAAATGCCCGGAGTGGGGGTTTGCATAGTATTTGTGTGAATAGTCATGATTCCCTTGGAATCCTGGCATTGCTCAGGGTCGGTGTTCGCTGTTGTTACCAACCCACCAACACGTCAAGGAATCTCCTCACTGCCCTGCTCCAACATCACTCCTCACCTGCATCTTCCTCTTCACTGTATCGAAGGGAAAGGAGAGGGTCTGGGTCACCGCAGCAGCCAGGCAGATGTTGGCAAAGTTCTGGAGGAGAGAGAAGCGATCTCGGGGTCCATTCCAGATTTTCTCCAGATTCATGTAAACTAGAAGAGAGCCAGCAGAGAAAGGGAGAGCACCTGCAAAACAAGGCCAGGAAGAGGCTGCTGAGGTCTAGGCAAACACCAGCTTGGGAACATAAATGCCTGTGGGGCATCCAAGGCAAATAAACAGGACCCCCTCTGGGCTTGTTAAGACCATTCCAACCGAAGCACCAGGAAGGAACTTTCTTGGGTGATGATAATGTGCTCTATTTTCACAGGGGTTGTGTCATTTGTCAAAATGCATCACATGGTTCGCAAAAGGTTTGCGCACTTTACTGTATGTAAATTTTACTTTAAAAAGTAATAAACAGCCCAGCCGGTGGTGCTCAGTTGGTTGAGCATCAACCTATGAACCAAGAGGTCACCGGTTCGATTCCTGGTCAGGACACATGCCTGGGTTGTGGGCTTGAATCCCAGGGGAGGGCATGCAGGGGGCAGCCAATGGATGTCTGTATCCCTCTCCCTTCCTCTCTCTCTAAAAATCAATAAAAACATATTTTAAAAAACATTTACAAATATTGAAGTCTAATCTAGTTTATGATACAGGTATCAAAGGGTTGAGGGGTGAAGTGCATCTGATGTTTGCAACTTACATGCAAATCATCAAAAATATATAAGATGAACTGATGAATGGCTAGAAGGATGGATAGATGGACAAATATGTAATAAAGCAAAATGTTAATTATAGCATCTAGATGGTGGGTATATGTGCATTTCTAATTCTTTTAACATTTCTGAGTGTTTGAAATTGTAAAAAATAAAGTGTTGGAAGAAAATCACTCTCATAAGAAAAAGTTAGTACCTGTTCTTAATCAACTTTTGGAGGGTAGGAGGGAGTGGTCTCCAGCTGAGAAGGAAACATTCTGTGAAAACTGGAAAGAGGGAGGTTACTTGACCTTGCCTTTGGAAATGATGTGGCCATGTCAGGGTTCAGTGGGCACCCTGCACTGTATGGCATTCTCACCTTCCTAGGAAAATATGGTGAGCAAGGAGTACAGTAGATGGCAATTTCACAAACTTTCAGAAACTTTGGGAACCATCTTAATTTTATAGAGTGACTAAATTTCTCCCTCAAAAAGGGATTTAAAAGAGGGGATAGCCCGGCTGTCGTGGCTCCGTGGTTGAGCGTCAACCTATGAACCAGGAGGTCACGGTTCGATTCCTGGTCAGGGCACATGCCCAGGGCGTGGGCTGGATCCCCAGTGGGGGGCGTGCAGGAGGCAGCCTATCCATGATTCTCTCTCATCAATGTTTCTGTTTCTTTCTCTCTCCCAAATCCATAAAAACATATTTTTTTTTTTAAAAAAGAGGGGATAACACAGTGGGGTTGCTTGTCCTTAAAAAAAGAATAATACTTATACTTAATAAACACATTTAAAATGGTGTACCAACCTTGGCTGGGTAGCTCAGTTGGCTGGAGCATCATCCGTACACCAAAGATCACTGGTTTGATTCCCGTGGGTTGTGGGTTCAATCCCCAGTCAGGGCATGTACTGGAGGCAACCGATCGATGTTTCTCTCTCATATTGATGTCTCTCTCTTTCTCTCTCTCTCTCTCTCTCTCTCCCTCTCTAAAAATCAATAAACATATCCTTGAGTGAGGATTTAAAAAAAATTTCAAAAAGATGTACCAACCCCCCTTTTACCTTCATTCAGAAAACATGTGTGAACCGGGTGTGCTGGGACCTAGGCCAGGTGCAGGAATACAAAGAAGAGTAAGTAGGCTAATTCCTGGAGAAGCTCGCCATCTAGTGGTGAGACAGCTCATAGGTGCCATAAGGGCAGGGCTGGAGCTGGGATGGCTATACAAAGTGCGTTAGGTACACAAGGAGAGGAGTTAATTTTGCCTGGGGGAATCAAGAAGGATTTCACAGAAGATAGAACTTTTCAACTGGGTCTTGAGGAATGAATAGGAGTTCATCAGACATAGAGTAGACAGGAATTCTAGGCAGAGGGAACAGCATGTACAAAGGGAAAAGTTTCCAGGAAATGCAACTATTTCTGTATGGCTGGAGCATCAGTGCAAGTGGAGGTGTGACAGGAGAGGAGGTTAGACGAGCTGTTCTGAAGGATCTGGTAGGCTATAAAGAATTGGGGTTTTCCTCTGTAGTTCAGGAGGCAGTGAAGATTTTTGAGGAGGGCAGTGGAGTGAGGGTGGTGAAATGATCATTTTGCATTTAGAGAGATCACCACACCCTGGCTGCAGTGCACAGGGCAAACTGGGGTGGGAGAGAACCAAGACTGGGAGCAGATAAGAGGTGCTTCTTATGTCTATGGGAAATATGGTGATGAGAGTGCAACCTAGGGCAGAGGAGATGGAGATGGAGAAGGGATAGATTTGAGAGTTCAAAGAGGTCATTTCAAAAGTACTTGGTGACTAAAGCAAGAGTGGAGTGAGAGGTAGAGTTGAAGTGAGTCTAGGTTTCTTTTGTCTCAGGCCACTGGGTGAAAGAAAGGTCTTATTAGGGGGCACAGGAGGAGAGCAGGTGTGAGACTAATGAGTTTGTTGTGCCAAGGGAGCAACAGGTGAGGGTGTCCAATAGCAGGTATTCATACTGCCACTGGGAATTGGTAGCAGCCAGTGGTTAAGAGAGAGGGCTCCGGGTTATATTGCTAAATTCCTTCACTTTCTATCCATGTGACCATGGCAGGTAACTTAGCTTCCCTAAGCATCTATTTCCTCATCTGTAAAATGAGGCTTAAATGAGAATCTGTATGTAAAGCATTTAACTCACTGCCTGGCACATAGTAAGCACCAATAAATGTTACTATAGAGATTATATCAGGGGTCATTAGAGTATAATGATACTGTTCAAGCTACTAGCTTAGATGAGGCCACCTAGGGAGGGTATGGAGGGTGAAGGAAACGTTAAGGAAGGAGCTGGGGGAATAGCGATATGTAGGGGGCTAGCAGTGTCAGATGAGCCAGATGAGTCAGACAAGAAAGCTGCCAGAGACATCAGAAAGACATCCAGGAAACAGTGGGGTCCTAGAAGCCAAGTTTCCAGAAGAAGGTGTAATCAATCTCATCAAATGTTGAAACAAAGGTCAGACAAAGAGCAAAAGTCTGCTGTATTGGCCATTGGGGATCCTGGTGACCTGTGTGTGTGTAGTCCTGGCACAGGCTCCAAAGACCACAGAAGCTACAACTGCTACCCTGGTTGTGCTCATATTTGCATGTATGCACACTGAGACTCCTTCCCATAGTTGGATGAGGAGTGTGTGGGATTGTCTTCCTATCAGTTGCACCTCCATGCACTGTCATCCACCCCTCTCTGGGATGCAAAAGGTCAAAGTTAGGAGTGGGGTATACAGCTGTGGAATAGAATGAAGTTAAGTGGTCCTATATGGACTTATCCATATGACCTTGACCTCAATAAAATGTATTAACTGGTTACAAAGGCATACAATTATTCATATATGTCAAAGAATGCAGCCTTTCCTTGGACAAGGAAAAATTTTCCATCTTACCTAAAACTGTAAGGGAAACTCCTCGATAAAGGGCCAGGAATCCTTCCTGTTGATAAACAGTAGAAAAAGCATGGAGGATCCCCCTATAAGATGGTTCCAGCATATTCTGCACAATCAAGCGCGTTTTGATGAGGTCTGTAGGATACGTTACAATGGTGGAAACCATGCCTGCGAGACTTCCAGCCATGATGGCACTCCACTGGGATATATGGCCCAGGTCATCCATGAAGAGTACGACAAACCTGGGAGGAAACAGAGGATGAAGGACAAGGGAATCAGCTATAGATTGTGCTAGAGTGTTCTACATTACTCTCACATCTTCCAGCATTTGGAAATGCTTTACAAAGTGAAAACTACCATACTAATGAATTAGGATTAATGACTAACACATTCAACTCTACTATATTTATACTAGAGGCCTGGTGCATGAAATTTGTGCACTGGAGGGGGGGGTCCCTCAGCCTGTCCTGCGCCCTCTCGCAGTCTGGGAGCCCTCGGGGGATTTCCGACTGACAGGGAGCAGGTCTAAGCCAGCAGTCAGACATCCTTAGCGCTGCTGCAGAGGCAGGAGAGGCTCCCGCCACCAGCCACCACCGTTGCGCTCGGTTCTGGCTGGGAAGCACTTCCCCTGTGGGAGCCCACAGACCACCAGGGAGCAGCTCCTGTGTTGAGTGTCTTCCCCCTGGTGGTCAGTGCATGTCATAGCAACAGTCGTTCTGCCATTGGGCAGAAACCGGCTCTCTGACATCCCCGAGGGGTCCCAGATTGCGAGAGGGTGCAGGCCAGGCCGAGGAACTCCACCAGTGCACGATCAGGCTCGGGAGGTACATGGGAGGTTGGCAAGCTGGGAAGGCTCCAGGGCATGTCTGGCCTGTTTTGCTCAGTCCTGATCGGCTGGACCCCAGCAGCAAGCTAACCTACTGGTCGGAGTGTCTGCCCCCTGGTGGTCAGTGCATGCCATAGCAAGCAGTTGAGCGGCTTTAGCATATCATTAGCATATTACGCTTTGATTGGGTGAATGGTCAACTGGACGACTGGACACTTACATTAGGCTTTTATTATATAGGATAATTCTAGTTAGCTATAGGGAAAAGATGCCCAACTCTCTAATTTATAGCTAACTTAAGTCCTTCCCATTTCACTTTAAGCATTTCCGTTGTTTATCCACATAACTGTCAACTCTGGCTTGCCTGTGGGGTGTAAATTTGCAGAAGTACTTGGTAAATATCAAACTGTAATGTATTACTTTGCTTCTGTTGAAACTTAAAAGAAATGAAATCGCTTAAAATGATGACTTTGAACATCCCCAGAAATTAAGTTTAAAAAACATATTGGCTTAATTATAAGAGAAGCAGCACCCCACTAATTGTCAGAGAAATAAAAACAATAACAAGATACAATTTCTCACCTAGCAGATTGGTAAGGATTAAAAAGTCTTATAATATTAAGTGATGGTGAGGATGAGTGGAAACAGGACCTCTCATTCACTGCTTGTGGAAGTGCAAATAGGTACGGCCACTTTGTGGTATCTAGTAAAAAAAAAAAGCTGCCTACTTTCACTCCAGCAATTCCATATCTAGGTGCATATCTTAGGGAAATTCTTGTACATGTACATATGAACACACATATATCATTGTTAGTAAGTGTAAAAAAGTCAAACCACTATAAAATGGACACTCTAGTTTAAATGAATGAGCTTAGAACTATGTAATAACATCAACACATCATAAAATTGAGTGAAAAAAGCAAGTTGCGGAATGACTTATAATCTATAACAATGATCTATTTTATTTTATTTTTTCTTAAATATATTTTTATTGATTTCAGAGAGGAAGGGAGAGGGATAGAGAGATAGAAACATCAATGATGAGAGAATCATTGACCAGCTGCCTCCTGCACACCCGCTACTGGGGATCGAAGCCGAAAACCAGGCATGTGCCCTTGACTGGAATCGAACCCGGGACCCTTCAGTCCACAGGGTGACGCTCTATTCACTGAGCAAAACCAGCTAGGGCAGTGGTCGGCAAACTACGGCTCACGAGCCACATGTGGCTCTTTGGCCCCTTGAATGTGGCTCTTCCACAAAATACCACGTGTGGGCACACACGTACAGTGCGATTGAAACTTCGTGGCCCACGCGCAAAAGTCGGTATTTTGTGGAAGAGCCACACTCAAGGGGCCAAAGAGCCGCATGTGCCTTGCGAGCCGCAGTTTGCTGACCACTGAGCTAGGGCGACAATGATCCATTTAAATTAAGAAACACATCCACAAAATCATACCTTATATTATTCATGGAGAGATATAGATACATATAAAAACTATAAAATAGACCTTTGGGAAAGTGGAAGAGGGGATGAACTGGGAAAGAGAGTGAAGAGGACTGTAGCTTGATCTATAACATTTTATTTTCTATATTAAAAAAAATTGAGGTATCTTTTATACTACCATGATGTCAATTCTGAATGTGGGTGTTTGCTAGATTATGTTTCGTGTTTCTCTGCAGTTTTACAATGCAGTAAAAAATGGCTTTGGGTGGGCTTTTCCAAATGCAAAATAGAAAGCCATTTTGTTACAGTTCCTCTTTATGGAAGGAGCACATCCGTAGGCATGAGGGCCTATTTAGCAGAAGTTGTTATAAGGGGACTTTTATATGACACATGTTTCTTGGTCAAGAACAAAGGAATTTCACTCCATCTTGCTGATCAGGATAAAATAATAAAGGTCTTGAAAATTAGGGGGGGAAAGATTTCTGCCACAGTGGGGAGGGAGAGAGGGAGAGAGATAGTAAGGGTTTAAATAAAAGAAAAGTGAACAGAGCTAGGATAAAATAAATGTATTGTAGAACATCCCTAGTGCTTTGGCTTTCAAACTTCCAATGAAGTGGTGCCTTTCCTGCTCCTCCAGTTTGGCAGAAAACCAGGGCCCTAAATAAGATGAGTGGGTGTTTAGGTGCAGTTATTTAAGGGGTTCTAAGATGGCTCCTTGCTCCCAAGTAAACACTCATTGATAAAACAAACAAACATCTCCTTCAAGCTGTAGGAAAATCTTGACTTCATTTTATTAATGTACTTTAACTGCACCACCTGAAACAGTCAGTTGAGTTAACCAGCTACCTTTTAAAGATGCAGGTAACTAAATCTGGCAATCACCAATGGACCATTTACCTCAGTTTCACTCCCTGCACACTTCCTTATTTCTTCTGTTTAAATGTTTTTATTTATTTTAGAGAGAGAGAGGAAGGGAAAGGGAGAGATAGATAGAAACATTGATGAGAGAGACATCAATAGGCTGCCTCCTGCACACACCCTACTGAGGATGAAGCCCACAACCTGGGCATGTGCCCTGACCAGGAATCGAGCCAGCGACCTTTTGGTGCTTGGGACAATGCTCAACCACTGAGCCATACCAGCTGGGCCACACTTCCTTGTTTCTTACTCCTCTCTCCTCTGGCCAGTCCAGTTGGGGGGGAGAGGACCTTAGAAGGGGAAATGGGAGATTGAGGAAACGAAAATGCTTGTCTGGAGGAGTGGGCCACAGCAAATTGGAACAATCTGAAGATGGAGTTCGAAATGCCAAAGGAAACACCATTCATTCTCATTGCCTTGTCCTTATTCCCTATCCCACTTGGCCATTTCCATGGCATTAATTAATCCATTACCCATTTATTTAATATCTACGTGACAGACACTGTGCTAACACTCAGCATCGATTACAAGAAAGTTCAACAGCCCTGCTGAAAAACAACTGATAAGGGTAACAGGAGAGGAAATAAACTTTTGGTTGACTGAATGACTTGATGAACTAGGAAGAAGAACCCTGTCTTATATCAGATTGCCTTATAAAGTCATGTCTTACTATTAAATACACAAAATGAAAAGAAAAAAAACCCAGCCTGGCTGGCGTGGCTCAGTGGTTGAGCATTGACCTATGAACCAGGAGTTCACGGTTCGATTACCAGTCAGGCAAATGCCTGGCTTGTGGGCTTGATCCCCAGTAGGGGGCATGCTGGAGGCAGCTGATCCATGATTCTCATCATTGATGTTTCTCTCTCTCTCTCTCCCTTCCTTTCTGAAATCAATAAAAAATATTTTAAAAAGTAAAAACCAAAGGAAGTCCCTTCTTCTCAAACTTTGACCAACTGACATGGAGACAATGACCACTAACGGTTTCCCTTAGAATCACAGAGTCAAGGCAGGCAACCCTAAAAGGTCATCGATAATGTCATCCTGGTTCCCACATCTTAAGATCTTGTCTGATTGGCCAGGGCACCAGTGTTCCCCTTTATGTTCTTCTCTCCCCGACCCCCACAAGCTGGTGAACAGCAGTAACCCCTTCTTTTCAGCTACACAAATATTACACACACCCTGGATATATGTAGTTAGAACTGCTAACGCTTTGACCTAATACAGGTTAGCAGACAAACACAAGCTCATGAATTCATTACACAATAAAGAGTTGGTGTTGGTTATGAACAATTTCAGAGCTGTAGGGATCCAAACCAATGCTTATACAGCTAGACAAGCGGTTGTGGTGTAAAGTTGGATGAGGGTCTACTATTTGATGTATTTGAAAGCCATCTTTTGTGTTAGGTTTTAATTATTTATTACAAGTACCTAGCTCCTAATAGACACTCCTGAGCGGACTCTTTTGATCATTAACCTAAGCAAGTAGACATTTCAGCATCACAGTGGTGGGCAGAGTCCTGGACTGTGAAGCCAGAAGACCTGGTTTCAAGCTCCAGGTCTGTCATTAATTGTGTTTGTGGACAAATTCTTTAACCACTCCATTCTCTGAACATTTGGGATGTTTGTTTTGCTGAAATCCATGATCATAAGCTTTACCCCCAGCCAACTATTTTACCAATTCATGGTCAGGAAAGAGTAGAGATGAATCAGTATAATGATGGAGCAAAAGTATCTTCTTTATGTAGGAAGGATGGCACCATGATTAATCAACCATTTTGCTTTCTACCTATGCCTAGTCATTTGCTGAAATACTACCTTCTAGTTTTAAGAAAGAAAGTAATATTTTCTTTGCCCTCCACCCCCCGCCCCATTGTCCTCTCATCGGCCAAGAAAATCTTGCAAGGGAAAAAAATATTAGCAAACCTAGCTCGATAACTATCTCTTCTTCCTCTCCCATGCATCAAATCTTCTTTACTCCCACTGTCACAGTCTATTTCAGGTGTCCTCAACTATCACAAGGAATAGTGCAATAGGTTCCAAACTGGTCCTGCCACCCCTCTCCAGTCTTCCTTCTCTCTAGTCATCCTACCCTGCTTCCAGGTGACAATTATTCCTGCTGAATTGCTTTAATCAGAGCACTTTCCCCTCAAAAAACTCCCACAGCTACTCTTGCATACCAAGTAAAGTCCATACTCCTTAACCCGACCCTCCAACATCTGGTTCTAACCTGCTTTTCTGGTTGTATTTCCCATTACTGCTGTAGACACACCTTATGCTCCAGTCATGCTACATGCCTTCCCACCCCTGCACTTTTGCTCATGACATTACCTGCAATATCTTTCTCCCCATCTTTGCCCAGCAAACTCCTACTCATTCTCGTAAGACCAAACTCAGATGGTTTTTCTCCTCTGTGAAGTCTTCACATCTATTCCTCCTCATCCCTCATTGGAAGTCTTTCTTTCTGTAGCACTTCAACCATGGCAATCACACGCTATGGACACACTACTCTTATTCTTCTATTACTTTTCAGTTCTGGGGCACAGGGACCATGCCCCTTTCATCCTTGCCTCATTCCCAGTATTAATGCACACGATGAGTACTTAATGAAGACTTGCTAAATTAATGTGAAATAAAGACAGAGAGAAAGGCAGCATGATGTAGTAGAATATGAGATTTGAAGTCAGAAAGCCCAGCAGTCATTGACGAATGGTATGGCCAGTCTGAGTACAATTCTGCATCTGTAAAATGGGCATATTTCTCATGTTATGGACCTTACAGGGAAGGAGGCAGGAATTTTAAAAAAATCAATGATGTACACATGCATGTACACACACATAAAATAACTCTATAGAGGTGATATATGTTAATTAGCGTGACTGAGGTAATAATTTCACAGTGTATATAAAATATCAAGTTGTACACTTTAAACATAAATAATTTTTGTGTCAATGACATCTCAATAAAACTGTTTTAAAAATCAAAGATGTATATATACTAGGTCAGTGGTCGGCAAACTCATTAGTCAACAGAGCCAAATATCAACAGTACAACGATTAAAATTTCTTTTGAGAGCCAAATTTTTTAAACTTAAACTATATAGGTAGGTACATTGTTATTAACTTAATTAGGGTACTCCTAAGGCTTAGGAAGAGCCACATTCAAGGGGCCAAAGAGCCGCATGTGGCTTGCGAGCCGCAGTTTGCCGACCACTGTACTAGCTGGTTAGCAGAAAAGCCACAATACTTAAACCAGCCTTTGAAGGTCTGCCTTTCTCCCCTGGGTATGCTTTGTGGAGTAGAAAGTGAAGTGGGGAGAAGATGAGCCATTAAAACTCAGCTGTTTACAGACTTTAGGCCAGAAGTTGCTGAGGGCAATGGAGTGCTGGGGAGGAAAGAGAGCCTTGACAGAAATGCCTGGTGCTCTCACTACCTTCCCTTCCCAGAGGAAGACAAGGTAACTCTACTCCCAGGCATCGGTGAAATGAGCCCTGGTCTGGAGGACTCCGTGATAAGGCTGATTGAGGTAATAATTTCACAGTGTATACTAGTATTCCGTCTTGCTTGTCAGCTGCCAGGTGAGCCTTCCAGCTCTGGAAAGGGAACAAGGTGGCATGCCTGCGCCTCTTCCCTTACAGCACTGTGTTCCCCTCTCAGAGTCAAAGGCAAAATTCTTTGACTATTAGCCTCCAAGGCTGAACAATGTGGTCAAGACTGTGGGCTGTTTGTCTAATTCAGATCCCAGGTCAGTCTTCAGAGTTGACACTGTATTCTCCTTCCTAATATAGGAATATCCCCTCTTCTTGAAATTCCATCACTTACCATTTCATTATTTTAGGCTTTGTTTCCAGCTTAAAGGAAAACATCTTTGAGCTCTGAGGAAGCTTTAAGACTCATCTGGCCTCATCCTTTCCTAAGAAGCAGCTGTTGAGGTAAGCCTGAAGCCTTAGCAGAGAATGAGGCCAGTGAGCCTGAGGAGAAGCTCTGGCCTCTGCTGGACCCTAAAGGCAGGCTTCATTTATGTGCATGTGTGTAGAAATCTGTGGCCTTTTTGTGGCAATGGATTGAGCCCTCTGCCCCTCTCAAACACTTTCTTCTGTGGGCTTTGGTCACACACAGTTGCATACACAGGCCTTCCAAGGGGTCTCTCCTAGGCTAGCCAAAGCAGTTTCCAAGTTGGTGGACGGTGGGAATGGTTAGGAGCCATCTGTGGAGATCTCTTCACTCCGTCCTCCAAATCTCCTTTTGTCCCATTCCACCTCCTCACCTGTCCAACCCGTTGAGCCTCTCTGGGCCAGTGCTGCCCCCACAAAACCGCACCTGGAGAGGCAGGAATCCCAAGAGCACGTGACAAACGTGGGGACTGCGCTTTGGGCCCTAGTTGTCACCTTTTCGCCAAACTGCTCCGAGGGGCTCCCACGCGATCAGGAAAGGGGCTGGTGCCCACGGCAGGGCCCTGACCCCGGGAACCCCAGCGATCCCTCCTCCTGGCCCCGCCCGCCCGCTCGCCCGGCCCTTACTTGCGGTAGGCAGTGAGTTGCACGGCGCTGTAAGGGAAGAGGCGCAGGCACGCCACCGCGTTCCCCTTCCATAGAGCCCGGGGCCCCTCGGCTCGCCACACGCCAAGCCCCGCGGCCCAGGGCCCCCGGCCGTGACCCCGCACCACGCCGACCTGGGCTAGCACGGTGGCGAGCTCCAGCGGCGCGGTGAGGCTCAAGCTGAGCACGCCCGCCAGCCCCGCGCACAGCAGCCGCTGGCTTCCAGTCAACCGGACGTCACGTCGCCATGTCGCCATCGCGCCCCACCAGCCGAGCCCCGGCCCGGGACTCCGGGACACCAAGTGTCTCGGGCCTGGGGTTCCCGGGCTCTCGGCGGAGGGGGCGGGCATGGCCCTCCCGAAGGGGGACGGACGCGCGGCCGGGCCGGGAAGCCGGGCCCGCCCTGGCGGCCTCAGGGGTGGGGTGGATGGGGTGGGTGGGGCGGAGGAGGCCTCCGGAGTCGGAAGCCTCTCGGATTTGCCATCTGCTCTGCAGTTGGCAAGTTTCTGTTTGCTGTTGAGAAAGAGTCACCGTGTTCCCTCCAGGCCCAGCCAGTTAGACTCTTGTTTCCTAAGTATTCAGGGTTGCCTCTCTTCTTGTTTACCCTGTAAGGATTCAGAACCAGTCACCCTAAGATGTGCCTCTGTGGTATGCAGACTATTTTGAGCTAAAGGGAACAACAGAGACTCTGCAGGTTCATGATAAACCTTTACCTCTCCTTTAAAGAATTTAAATTAGGGCCCTTGCACATAAAAAGACTTATCATCAGAAATGACTTTTTATGATCTATCTATAAGGCAGGGCAAACTTCTAATTACCGAATACCTGCTCCTCTTATCAGCCTGGGAATGACCTTTCTCTCCACTAAAGCCCCAAGGCACTTTACTCATCCTTAGCTTGGAATGCCATATATACCTCATTTTTCCTTTCTGTCTCTGAGGTCCCCATACATACATATGTAATTAAATTTATTTTCTCTTGTTAGTTTGTCTCATGTCTATTTAATTAGATCAGCTGAAGGAACTAGAAAGGTAGAGGAAAGTTTCTTCCTACCCCACAACCCCACTACTCCTCTTCCATATTCTACCTCACCCCTTTCTCCCCTGGCTTCTGTTCTTTTTCCTCCAACCTCTTTTATTTTTCTATCCCAAGACAAAGCCATGCAGATTTCTAAGTGCAGAAGGAAAAATCTATAACACACACACTGCTACCTATCAGACACTTGTCATATATTGGGCTTTATATACATTATGTCATTAATCCTCATAACAGCCCTTAGTAAGTACAGTCTCATTTATTGCCCTCATTTGGAGAGGCTGTACATGTGGTGGTTAGAGCCTGGACTCTGGAAACCGCATTACAATTTTGGCTCTTCAGGTTATCAGCCGTGTGCCCTTGGGGAAGTCAATTTTCCTCTCTGTGCCTCAGTTGCTTGCAGGGGTGGGGAACATCTGGCTCATGAAATCATTTAGTCTGGCCCTGCCAAGGCATTAGGGGTGAGTTAATTAAATGTTTGGCCAAATTATAGCAGGTTAATTTTTTAAATTTATCTTTATTTTCGAAAGTATTACAGATGTCCCCTTTGTTTTTTTTTCCCCATTGACCCACTCCATCCCACACGCTATCCTCCCAAGCTTTCACCACAGTATTGTCTGTCCGTGGGCTATACATATTTCAATATATGTTCCCAGTTAATCTCTCCCCACCCCATCCCCACCTCCGCCTTTCATCTGAAATTGGTCAGCCTGTTTCATGCTTCTCTGTCTCTGGATCTATCTTGTTCACCAGTTTATTTTGTTACGTAGATTCCACATATGAATGAGATTATGTGATACTTATCTTTCTCTGACTGGCTTATTTCGCTTAGCATAATACTCTGCAGGTCCATCCATGCTGTTGCAAATGGTAAGGTTTCCTTCATTTTTACCGATGCATAGTATTCCATGGTGTAAATGTCCCACAATTTTTTAATCCACTCATCTGCTGATGGGCACTTGGGCTGTTTCCAAATCTTAGCTATTGTAAATTGCACTGCTATTAACATAGGAGTGCATATATTCTTTCTGATTGGTGTTTCAGGTTTCTTAGGATATATTCCTAGAAGTGGTATCACTGGGTGAAATGGCAATTACGTTTTTAATTTTTTGAGGAAACTTCATACTATTTTCCATAGTGGCTGCACCAGTCTGCATTTCCACCAGCAGTGCAGAAGGGTTCCTTTTTCTCCACATCCTCTCCAGCACTTGTCATTTGTTGATTTATTGATGATAGTCATTCTGACAGGTGTGAGGTGATACCTCATTGTTGTTTTAATTTGCATCTCTTGGATTGCAGGAAGCCACTCTTTGTCTTCACTAGCAGAGAAGTGCAAACAAGGATCCGGGAACGCTGGTGAACCTTGAACCCATGGCAAGGGCTAGAGTTATGCACTGATTGTCTAGTCCAGATAGTGGGGGCTCAAGCTATTTCCTGATCAAATAGTCTCAGAGTAAATCCTTCTAATATTTACTGACCTTTAAGATTGTCTGTTACCGCAATTACCTGCCTGACTATGAGCTGGATGTGTATCCAAAGTTGAATAAAAGGCTGCGGAGGCCTGAGCACCAGTGGAAGTCCTTTCTCTTGCATTGGGCTTGCCTTCCTGGCCCCCAATATTTCCAAATTATTATTTCTTGTCTCGTCTCTTTCATTTGCGTGAGGCCCCTCCTCCAGATCCTGAACCCTGAATCACTCAGGACATGGGGAACACTCACACAAATGATTAGTGACTTTGAGAATTTTTTAATATATCTTGTGGCTTTCTGTATGTCCACTTTGGAGAAGTGTCTATTTAAGTCTTCTAGCAGGCTAATTTTTAAAAAAATCTTTATTGTTGAAAGTATTACATATGTTCCCTTTTTTCCTCCATTGACCCCACTCCAGCCTGCCCCCACCCTCTGCCGCAGGCTTTCACTACCCTATTGTCTAGCAGGCTAATTTTTCTATTTTTATTTTTGTAATATATTTTTTATTGATTTTAGAGAGCAAGAAAGAGGGAGAGATAGAAACATCAATGATGAGAGAGAATCATTGAACGGCTGCCTCCTGCATGCCCTACACTGGGGAGTGAGGCCACACTTGAGCATGTGCCCTTGACCAGAATCCAACCCGGGACCCTTCAGTCCACAGGCCGATGCTCGAACCACTGAGAAAAACTGGCTAGAGCTAGGAAGCTAAATTTTAAGTTGATAATTTTGTATGCTCCCCCCCCCCCCAATGATGTTATAAATATCCAAATGATCCTTAGCAGAGAAAAGGTTCCCCAATCCTGACAGTTTCTTCCTCTAGGGCAGTGGTTCTCAACCTGTGGGTCGCGACCCCTTTGGGGGTCAAATGACCCTTTCACAGGGGTCACCTAAGACCATCGGAAAACACATATATAATTACATATTGTTTTTGTGATTAATCACTATGCTTTAATTATGTTCAATTTGTAACAATGAAATTGGGGGTCACCACAACATGAGGAACTGTATTAAAGGGTCGCGGCATTAGGAAGGTTGAGAACCACTGCTCTAGGGGGTGTTACAAGAATTATATGTATGGTAAGCACTATATATGTGTTAACTATGATTAGCTATTTTTTAGAGAGGCGGAAACTAAGAGAATGACTTGCTCAAGGTCACACAGCTACTACTAGGCAGTTAGGATTCACATCTAGGTCAATTTTGTGGCAACATCCACTATCAGCTACACTACACATCCACCTGACTGCAGAGTGTAACGAGTAAAAACATTTTCAATGGTTCTCTAAGCTAAGAGGACAATAGAGGGAAATAAAGGGTAAGAATAAATTGGCAAGAATCCAAGACAGATTTTGATAAATTTTTTAAAATTGAGAATTTTCCCTGTCTCTTTAGCTTTCCTTTTTGGAAGAAATTAATCCAGAAATTTAATATTGGCTTATTGGTGATTTAATAACAGGATATGAATATATTTCTAAAAAGGTGTTTATATATAAATTAAAAATAAGTCATATTTGCCCTAGCCAGTTTGGCTCAGTGGATAGAGCATCAACCTTCAAACTGAAGAGTCCCAGGTTCAATTCTGGTCATGGTCACATGCCCAGGTTGTGGGCTCAATCCCAGTAGGGGGTGTGCAGGAAGCATCCGATCAATGATTCTCTCTCAGCATTGATGTTTCTACGTCTCCATTTCTCTTCCTCTCTGAAATCAATAAAAATATAAAAAAAAACAAGTCATGTCTCATAAGAGTATATAGCAAATTAATGGGTTTGGAAATGTGTTTTATATGAATCGGGATCTTGTAAGGTTGGCTTGGTAGGATATGGTATACTTAGCATTACCAAGAGTGTGACATCAAGTTGAATTTAGAATTGGTCACTTGGTCTACGGCCACACCACCCTGAACGCGCCCGATCTCGTCTGATCTCGGAAGCTAAGCAGGGTCGGGCCTGGTTAGAATTGGTCACTTGCCCAGTGTCTTTGTTATATATCACATAACCCAAGGCCAAATTATTTTTAGCCACTTATGGATGTATGGGGGGTAGTATTGCTCCATGGTGATGTGAGGAGTAGTGGTTGATGCTCTGAACTGTGGTTTTTATGGCATAAACCAGGGCAGAGAGATCAGAACCAATATCAATAACAAGAATAGAAAGGAAAGGGGCAGACAGCAGTCTGTTAATATAAGACATCCCAGGTACACAATTGCTTTTAGGCTTGTATGTTTATGCTCTACATTTATTTAATGATACACATGATAAAGGAACCTTTTCTAAAAGGTGTTGCAAGGTTTAGGTTGACAGGACTTGCTCTAATTACAGAAACCTTGCTCTGCTCTCAACAATTGGAGTGTCGACGTGAGAAACATCTAAACCTGTAGAAAATTTTTATAAGAGTTTATCTGAGCCCAAAAGAAGATACTACCTGGAAGCAAAATCTCAACAGACTGAAATAAATGCTTTAGAGAATAACAGTAAATTCATAATTTTAGTAGCTTTATCCATTTCTTCCAATTTAAATAATTGATCTGCCAGAGTTGCTAGTTTATTGGCCTGTGTTGCTGCCCAGTTTAATTCATGTTATTTAATCAGAATTACAAGCTCCTCATCTAATCCTTCCAGAAATGCTGAATTGAGTATTGTATCATTTTGATGATTCTAAAAACTGTCTGGAGACAATCTTGAATATTGTTTGAAAAAAATTTCAAAATGCTCAAAGAAAGCTAGTATGGTTTCATCAGGTTTTTGTCTACATTACTAGATTTTTTATCCAGTTTATTTTCCAGGGGAAAATCTCAGGGATGTCTTGGTGAAGCTGGTGGGCTAATTCCCTGCATTTTTCTTGGTCTATTTTTCTTTGTTTTAAAAGTTCCTCTATAGGAGTTTCC